AAATCCAGCACCCCTTCATGACAAAGGTCCTAGAGAGATCAGGGATAACAGGAATGTACCTGAATATAATAAAAGCAATATACAGTAAACCAACAGCTAACATCAAACTAAATGGAGAGAAACTCAAAGCAATTCCTCTAAAATCAGGAACAACACTAGGCTGTCCACTCTCTCCATATCTCTTCAATATTGTACCTGAAGTTCTAGCTACAGCAATAAGACAACAAAAGGAGATAAAGGGGATACAAATAGGAAAAGAAGAAGTCAAACTTTCACTATTTGCAGATGATATGATAGTTTACATAAGTGACCCAAAAAACGCCGCAAGGTTACTCCAAGAGCTGATAAACACCTTCAGCAATGTGGTAGGATACAAGGTAAACTCAAAAAAATCAGTGGCCCTATTATATACATATGATGAAGAGACCGAGAAAGAAATCAGAGAAACATCACCTTTTACAATAGCCAAAAACAGCATCAAATATCTGGGGATAATGTTAACCAAGGAAATTAAAGACCTGTATATCAAGAACTTTGTGTCTTTAAAGAAAGAAATCAAAGAAGATACCAGAAAATGGAAAGATCTCCCATGCTCTTGGATTGGTAGGATCAACATAATAAAAATGGCAATCTTGCCAAAAGCAGTCTACAGATTCAATGCAATCCCTATCAAAATTCCATCACAATTCTTCAAGGACCTGGAAAGAACATTAATCAAATTTATATGGAAAAACAAAAGGCCCAGGATAGCTAAAACATCCCTATACAATAAAGGAACTTCAGGAGGCATCACCATACCTGACTTCAAGCTCTATTATAGAGCTATAGTCCTGAAAACAGCTTGGTATTAGCACAAAAATAGGCAGGTAGACCAATGGAAACGAATTGAAAGCTCTAATTTTAACCCACACACCTATGAACACTTGGTTTTTGACAACGAAGCTAAAACTGTACAATGGAAAAAAGAAAGCATCTTCAACAAATGGTGCTGGCATAACTGGGTACTGGTATGCAGAAGACTGCAGATAGATCCATGTTTATCGCCTTGTACAAAACTTAATTCCAAATGGATCAAAGATCTCAACATAAATCCAGCCACACTGAAACTTTTAGAAGAGAAAGTGGGAGATACTCTTCAACGAGTTGGTACAGGAGACCCCTTTCTAAACATACCACCAGTGGCACAGGCACTGAGATCGACAAGTAACAAATGGGACCTTCTGAAACTAAAATGCTTCTGTAAGGCAAAGCACACAGTCAAAAAGTCAAAAAGACAGGCCACAGAATGGGAAAAGATATTCACTAACCCTACATCTAACAGACGGCTAATCTCCAAAATTTACAAAGAATACAAGAAAGAAGTCTCCAAAACACCAAAGGATCCAATTAAAAGGTGGGGTACAGACCTAAATAGAGAATTCTCAGTAGAGGATGCTAAAATGGCCAAGAGACGCTTAAGAAGGTGCTCAACATCCTTAGCCATCAGGGAAATGCAAATCAAAACAACTCTGAGATACCATCTTACTCCTGTCAGAATGGCTAGAATCAAAAACACCGAAGACAATTTATGCTGGAGAGGATGTGGAGAGAGAGGAACACTCCTCCACTGCTGGTGGGAGTGCCAACTCATACAGCCTCTTTGGAAATCAGTATGGAGATTCCTCAGGAAAATGGGAATTAATATACCACTAGACCCAGCAATTCCACTCTTAGGCATATATTCAAATGACGCAAGTTCATACAACAATTGCATCTGCTCCACTATGTTCATAGCAGCATTATTTGTAATAGCCAGAACCTGGAAGCAACCTAGATGCACCTCAACTGAAGAGTGGATAGAGAAAATGTGGTACATTTATACATTGGAGTATTACTCAGCAGAAAAAAACAATGGAATCTTCAAATTCGCAGGGAAATGGATAGCACTGGAAGAAACCATCCTGAGTGAGGTAACCCAGTCGCAAAAAGACAAACATGGTATGTACTCACTCATATATGGATTTTAGACGTGGATCAGGATAGTGCCAGTTTGCACTTCCACTGATAGTGAGTATGGGAAACAGGAAAGAACCTAAAAGATATGCATATTGGCATAGTACCCAAGAGAAGACGATGGAGACAAGATCCCCTGAATGGATGGGGAACATGGCGAGGGGTGGGGGGGAGTGGGACCTGGGAAGAAGAGAGGGGGAGAAGAGGAAGAGTGAGTAGGTAATGGGGGAACAGGAAGTTTGAGTGGGTGGCGGTAGAATAGGGGGAAGAGTGAATCATAGGTTAGAAGACAGATCAGGCACCAGAGTGACCTCTAGTTATCTAAATGGGTAACACCATTTGGCAAGCTAAGCAATAGTGGAGAGACTACCTCGAATGCCCATTCCTGATAATGAACTTGATGTCTATAACCCTCCGGGAGCCTTCATCCAGTGACTGATGGAAGCAGAGGCATACACACACAATTTAGCACTGAACTAAACCCAAGGAACCCAGTGACAGAGAGAGAGGAGTGATGAGCAAATTGACAAAGAATGGGCTGGCAAATCCAGCAGAGACAGCTGATCTGAACAGGGGAGAGCTCTTGGACCCCAGACCGAAAGCGGGGAGGCCTGCATGGACCCCCTGAATGTGAGTGTCACTGAGAAGGCCTGTGCAACCTATGGGGCCCTGAGCAGTGGATCAGTGTCTATCCCTGGAATGCATACTGTTATTGTTTGTCAATAGCACAAAGAGGGATGCTTTCTCAGCCCGGACTCTTAGGGGAGTGCCTAGACTCTACCCTGAGTGAAATGACAGACTCTAGGTATGCCCTATGAGGAAGGAATTGGCAATAGGGTGGGAGGCTGTATTGGAAGGGGAATGCGGGAGGATGGGAGAGGGAACTGGGATTGACATGTAAAACAATCTAATTAAAATTAAAATAAAAAATGATAAAAATATGGATCATAAAATTTACAGACAATTGAATGGAAGTAGAAAAGTCATCCTGAGTGAGTCAACCCAGAATACAAACATGGTATGCACTCAGTTGTAAATGGACATTAGCTGTAAAATGAAGGATGATCATGCTACAATTCACAGTCTCAGAGATGCTGGGTAACAAGGAAGGCCCAAAGAGGTACACATAGATTTACCAGGGAAGGGGAAATAGATCTCCTGAGTAAGTGGGGCCGGGGCAGTGGAGGGATGGGGGATAGGACACGAGGCGTTTTGTTGGGTGGGTTGGGAGCAGGACAAAGCAGGATAATAATGAAAGAGGGGTTTTGATGGGGGGATTCTTCAGTATTAGGGAGATACATGGTGCCAGATAAACGACCAGAAATCCACAAAGATGATCCCAGTTAAGACTCCTGGCAATAGGGTAGAGGTTTCCTGAACAGGCCATTTTTGTAACCAGAATGGTGACTACCCAAATTGTCATCAGAGAGCCTTCATCCAGTAACTGATGTTTGCACATGCCGAGATCCATAGCCAAGCACTGGGTCAAGCTATCAGATTCCTGCTAAAGAGGAGGAGGAGAGATTTGTAAGAGCCAGGGTAGTCAAGGTCATGATGGGAAAACCCACAGAGACAGCTTACCTGAGCTCCTGGGAGCTGGCAGATGCTGAGTCCACAGCTAAGGAACCTGCATGATGGTCCTAACCCCTCAGCATGTGTGTGACAGTTGTGTAGCTTTGTCTATTTGTGGGACTCCTAGCAGTGTGATCAGGGTCCTTCCCTGGTGCTTCAGCTGGCTTTGGGGAATGTATTCTCCATGCTGGGTATCCTTGCCCAGATTGAGGCAAGAGGGAGGAGTTGATCTTACCTCAACCTAAAGTGCCATTCTTTGTTGTAATCCATTGGAAGTCTGTCCCTTTCTGAATGGAGACAGAGTAGGAGGGGATGAATAAGGGGGTAAAGGGGAGGCCAGGGGAGGGGATGGGAGAAAAGAAGAGAGGGAAAACTGTGAGTATGTACATAGAATGGGTAGCCCTTTAGCTCCTGAGATCACCAAACTCTCTGGCTTTAATCTTCCAAGGAGTTGAGCCACAGACATCTATCTCAGGACAGAATTAGGTAGCAGGTTGAACTGGTGAGGACAGCAGGGCTGTGGGTCTGCAGAAGTGTTATAAGTCATTCGTAGTTAGGAGAAGACTTGGTGGTTGGTAAGAGATGGACATGGAAATTTAACAGTCAACCAGCTTCAGTGTAGACAATTACCCCAAAAGCACCTAAAGAGGGGACACAGAACTGGATCTATGGTCTTACGCATGTCAGATAAGTGATCTTCCACTGGGCTGTATTCCAAGAACCATGGGATTTTTATTTTTTAGTTTTGTATATGAATACAAAATGTCATATGCATCCCTAACTCTATCATTCCTAAGACCCTCAGGCCCCACCTTCTTGTTCTCCTTCCAGTTTCATTATTTCTTCTTCTTCTTCTTCTTCTTCTTCTTCTTCTTCTTCTTCTTCTTCTTCTTCTTCTTCTTCTTCTTCTTCTTCTTCTTCTTCTTCTTCTTCTTCTTCTTCATCCTCCTCCTCCTTAATCTTCCTCTTCCTCTTCTTTCTTTCTTCCTCTTCACTATTTTTATTGCTATTCTTATTTTTCTCCTCCTACTTTTCCTCCTGCTCCTCACTGATACTTAATAACCCACTAATTCAAAGTAGAGTTTTTTTCAGTTTTTTTACTTCTTATGTGGAAAGAGGCCATAACTAATTCCCTACCTTGCCTGGACCTTGCTTTATATCTCAGAAAGTTCTTAACTTGTGATTCCTGACCTTAACCCTCTGAGTAGCTAAGATGGCAGGCCTATATTATATGATTGGGATTCATTTTATTTTCCATGTTTCTGGGTATCACATCCAGGGTTTTGTACATATAAGGCAAACTCTCTGCCACTGAGATACTTCCATAGCCTTACATCTTCTTTAATTGTTTATCAGAAGTGTCTCATGACATAACAATTCAAATCTAGGGTTTTTTAAATCCAAAAAATTGAATACATATAACATGAAACCATGTGTAAGCATATCCATACTTTATTTAAACCAAAACCTAGAATTGGAGGCCCACACCTATAATTCAACCACTCAGGAAGCCAAGGCAGTGAGATCATGAGTTCAGGGCCCACCTGGGATACATAGAGACTTTGTCCCCCCAAAAGAAGAGAAAATAAGCAAGTAAAACAGCTGTGTATAGATTAGGTATGTAGATAGAAACTGCTGCATGCACACTTGGATGACATTCCACAATTAAGGGAAACAAAAACATTCCAAGTAACATACATTCACAAAACATTCTATTTATACTAGATTCAAAACAAGCCCCCAATACAGCAAGATAAAGTAATCTCATAGCTACTTTGAAACCAGGCTAAGGGTAGTGAATAGTACCAAAAGAACTGAGGAAAGCCTTGGGTGGGGTGGGGACATTGTTCTAAATATAATGTGTTGGCAGCTACATGCCTTGAGAATTTTCTCAGACTTACTAACCCATATACCTAAAAGAGATGAATTGTATTTAAACAATCCACAGGAGAGTGGTGGTATAGTTCACTGGTAGAGTACTTGCCTAACATGGACAAGCCCTAAATTCAGTCCCTAGACTTATAAAAACAATCCACACTCAAACTACTAAAATGAGACAATTATTAAAGTCTAAAACATATTATAACTCCTTGTGGGAAGTTTAGTGTGTATATAGAGGACTGTAAAGTAGAAACAAACTAACAGTAGAAATGTCAATATATGCTCTACATAGAGAATGGAAATAAACTGCATGGTCAGTCTCACTAACAGTGACCTAATGTTGTCCTTGGAATGCCATTGTTTGTACTTTGTACCAGAAAAGAGCACAAAATGTAATCCTTGAGTCATCTAGTGACATGTTTCTCACCACACAGCAAATCTGTGGGTGTCTTGAGCAAGGATTTCTCAATATAAAAAAATCTGTACATGTGTTACTGCTTGTAATATTTAGTGAGGTTTATGGTTTTTGTTTAGTTTCTGAGATATGGGTCTTGTTATCTTGCCCTGAGCTTATGTAATCCATCTGTCTCAGCCTCCAAAATTCTGAGGCCACAGACATTAAGAGTCCAATTTGTAGTTTTTTATCTACTGGGAACAACATTGTGAAATTATGTAGGCAGTAGGGCTTGGGGAAATCAGGTTTTCTATTGGCAACTTAGAAATATGAGAAGACCCAAACTTGCTGAGAGAGGACATGGGATTTCCTGTAGTCAACAGTGCCTGAAGCTTCTAATTCATTGGAAGAGGGTCTGATGCTTGGAAAAGAGGAGATAGAGGATGGGGAAAAGATGATGGAAAGAAGGAAGGAAGGAAAGAAGAAAGAGAAAGAAAGAAAAGAGTCTAAAATAGTGAAGTGTTAAAGAAGATGAGGGGAACACACATCCATATGGTTGTAGGACCATTTAAAAAATCTAATAAAATGGATCCAGAAGGATTAGTACCACATAGAAGGTTTGTAATACATGACTGAAAGGGCAAGTGCTGAGGGTTAGGAAGGATAATGTGAGTGTTTGGAGTGCATAAAAATAATTAAATGAATTTTGTAACCTCAGGATTACTCCATCTGCACTCACCCTGTGCATCTGTACTGTCAGAGGTCACTAAAGCTCTGAATGCTTGTCCTGAGCCCCCTTTAGCTCCTGGATCTTCTGTGGAAGAATCTTCATCCAAAAATGCAGCTTTCTAGCCTTCAGGGTTCGGCCCACAGCAGGCGGAATATCCAGCTTCAAGTACTGGTCATCATGGACCAACTCAGGCCAGTAGGGTAGACCCTCACTGTTGGGGTTCCTGTGGATATGACACCAACAGGGAAGGGTGAGGCCAATTTAATCCAAGACATGATCCCTTGATTTGGGTCAGAGAAATAGATGAGTAGGCCAAGTTCCTGAGTATACAGAAGGACTGGTCTACTGATAGAGAATACAAGTGTCTCTCACTAGTGTTGGTTTCATATGAAGCAATGGAAGATGTCTAGTTTTGTGTCTCCCTCTCAGAGGGAAAAATCTAAAGAACAGTACCACAATATTGTGACTCAGCTAACAGGTCTCTGTGAATTGAGCAGTAACCAAAAGCTAAAAATATCTGCCTGAATATGGCCTGGGTTGGAGAAGACTATGGTGTAATTAAGGACCATGCCTGCTAATGAGGCATATGCACATGGGAGCCCTGGATGGAGACAAAAGCATAGGAGGTGAGGGAGGGACATGTTCTCACCCATGTCTTGCAAAGTTGGCCCAGTACTTCATCATCCTCTTATTTAGCAGCTTCTCTTCCTCAGTGAAGTCAACTGCAGACAGAAGGAGACAAGTTCTAGATACCTCATGCAGGTGAAACTCATGCTCTACTATAACAACCACAGCCCAACCCTGAATGATCAGCCTGGTGTATACTCTCTTCCATCAACACTTAACCCAGCATCCATGCAAGCCTCTACTTGAATTCTCTCAGGTTCGTGTCTACCCCAGTGTGCTGTCTTTCCTTCTAGCACAAACTAGAAGAGGGAGGTTTGTAGTCTAATCCTGTTACAATTTGTATTGTTTCTTTTACTTTGTTTTAGCTCAAAAATGGTGAACATGTGATCCAGTTCAATTCCAGAGCCCCAGTTTCCTCTACTGTTCTAAGAGTTCAGTAATCACTCCTGGAACCTAGTGACAGAGATAGAGGCGTAATGAGCAAAGGGGTCAAGATCATGATGGTGAAATGCACAAAGACAGCTGACTGGATTATGGGGTGCTCTTGAATCCCAGACTGATGCCTGAGAGGCAAACAGGGGACTGATCCAGACTCCATGAATGTAGTCTCAGTGAGGAGGCAACAGAAATCACTGGGGTCTTAGGTAGCAGATCAGTATTTACCATGGTTTATGAATGATCTTTGGGAGCACATTCCAAATAGAGAGATGCTCTCTCAGCCTGGACACAAGGGGAATGGCCTAGGTCCTGCCCTGGATGAAATGACAGACTTTAGAGATCCCCCCAAGGAGGACCTCACCCTCACAGGGGAATGGTGTGGGGATTGAGTGGGGGGACTGGGGAGCTGGTGGAGGGACAAGGGAGGAAGGGTGGGAGAAGGATCTGTGATTGACATGTGAAGCATTCGTGTTTCTAATTTAAATAAAAACATTAAAAAAGAGTTCAGGAATCCATCAGAGGTTCCATTCTGCTCAAGAGAAACAAGGAAGACTCACGTTTTGAGCCCCAGAAGTCAGAGCCAAACACAAAGACAGCATGATCACCATGGTCAGCCCTAACATGGGATGGTCTGGCATCCTTATTCTTGATGAAGCTGGACTGGTGCTGGAACTCATAGATGTAGACAGGAGCATGAAAACCTGTGAGTGAGAGCACATGCTGATGTATTGATTTCTCACATGCAGATTTCCTACTGAACAATGGTGACAAGAAACCTTACTCTAAAGTTATCTTGAATCACATTTAAGTGATGAAATCCAGACTGGATCATTGGAAATAGTGACCCTGTCATTCCCAGATGAGTAGTTTTGACAAGACCCCAAATTTAAATAGCATATTTACTCCTTTGGAACTGAATAAAATGTCACTCTTTTACACTAGACTTGAGGATTTACTGAAGTAAGTGTCCTCAAATATCTTGTATCAGAGACAAGATCAAGACATGTGCCAGGCCTGGAAACTACAGAGCTCACCTGGGATCCACAGCTCTGAGATCCCCCCACACTTGGTCTTGTTAAAGATATACTCACATTGAAAATATGCTACTTGGAGTGCAGGAATCACAAACGTGAAGTCCTCCATCAACTCTCTGAATTGTGCTGGGAGGTTCTTGGGGTCCTCAACATCCCCCATGTATTCTTGCATTAGCAGGTCACTACATTCAGGAGGCAGCCTCTACACCAGGAGGAATCAGGAAGATGGATGTAGGTCAGGACATTGGATAGGTAGGCAATAGCCTCCTAGTAAGGAATGTGGCCTGGGATGAAACAGGGTATATGCAGAAAGGCACAAGCTTTTGGTAAGCCCACACAGAAACACACACATACACTAGCCTTCATTTCTGGGTGTTGTATCTGAGAATAATATATGGAAACCCTATTTATAAGGACGGGAGCCAAGGTCTCTCACCGTGTATGCTACTCTGCTCTTCAGAAAAGCTGGCAGGGTCTCTCTGGTTATGGTCTTTATGACATGATCAAGGTCCATGACCTTGGAGGTAGAGGAGAGTTTTCAGTATAGGGTAGTTTGGCTCTAGACCAAAGATTCTTTGCATTCCCCCCACCCTCCTTTTTAGTTTGGGTTCCCAGGGATTTAGTACTTGGCCTTACCAAGGGGACTCCCCAGCCATACTTGTCAATGTCTACACCAATAATGCTGGGATCAGGGTGAAAATCCACAGAGGCTAACAGATCCCAAGGGTGCCTAGGTAGGAAAACCCTATCCACCACAGCAGGGATTATCATGAAGACCTATGGGGCACTAAGTGTCAGGGCTGAAGACCAATCACATAAATATTCCAATGCCCACTGTCAGAACCTAGTAGAATATAGAACAGAACTCCCATGCTATTTCCCCATTTCCTATCTCATCCCAGGCTCACTCCAGGAGAAACTGACATTATTATTTCTGCACACAGGATTAAAAGAACACCAAACCTTGGATACCAGTTAACTGGTTAGAGTAGTAAGTATTGGCAACCCCACATCCTAGTGACCAGGTCCTCCAGTCCACACAATTCTCACAACCTGGTTGATAGCCAGAATCTCTGCTTCAGTATTACCTCGAAGGCAATGTACCAGGGCCTCTGAGTCCTTGGCCTCGCATCCTGATAAGTTTGCCACCATCTGTAAATAGAACAGACACTGGTTTGCTCATCTTTCTCAGCTGGGAACAGAGTTTCCTTGATTTCAAGTCAATGTCATTGCCTCCAAATACCACACCCTACTTTTTGTTGCGTATGAAATGACTTAAGTAGAATTGTTCATATTTTCAGTTGCACAAAGGTAACATTTGGGACAGGGACCATTTCTGCCTATATATTTGCTTAATTGTTGTTTTGTTTTTGAGTCTAATTTGCGGAGAACATCCTCAGGTATCACCGTCACCTTACTCACTGTTTGCATTTGTCATCAGCTTAGCTGAACTTTGATATTCCAGAGATTCATAGTCTTTGTTTCACATCTGTCCATAGGAGCATTGGGAATATTGAAACATAGTATCACCTCTAAACTTATTCGAACTTGGAGCCTCACACTTGCAGAGTGAGTATTTCTACCACTCACCTTTCCCTCAATCCATGTGTCTTTTTACATATTTATTCATCATGTTGACACAAGCCAGGGCAATATTGAAAGAGGAACTTCAACTGAGAATATGCCTCTATCAGACTGGTGCAGAAGGGCCCATCCAGCTTTGAACAGTACAACCCATGTGCAGGTGATCTGGGTTGTATAAGAAAGCAAATTTAGGAAGCCATGGGAAACAAGGCAGTAAGCAGTGTTCCTCCCTGGCCTAGGCTTCACTCCTGACCTCCAGGGAACTGCCTGAGTGCCTGCTCTGACTTCCCTTCAATATGGACTATAAACTGTAAACTGAACTGAACATTTTTCCCACAAGCAGCTTTTGGCCATGGTCTTTATCACAGTAATAAGAAGCAAACTAGCAAACCATGTGTATGAGTTTTGTCAATAGTGGAAGTCAGAGAAACAGCTTTGCTGTCATATAATATATTCTCAGCATACATGAAGTAGAGCTAGGTAGATACTTAATTTTATGCCTCTCATAAACTACTGGAAAGCAGCTATTTGCCATGAACCTTGTTTTCCCCCACTTAACATATTAACAGATTGCCACAGGCCAGACCTGAAGCAGCAAAGTAGGGACTGGTATTGATGAAGATACTCACTGTGTAGACCACCTCAGGTGTGTCAGAGATAAGGTCAGGTAGCAGAGCCACTCCATTCTGCATAATGGCTCCATGGAAGAGTCCTTTGGACATTGGGGACATGACAAGTGAGGACACACTTGAGCCACCTGCCGATGCACCAAAAATAGTGACCTGGCCAGGATTGCCTCCAAAGGAGGCAATATTCTGCTGGACCCAGCATAGGGCAGCCACTTGGTCCAGGTAGCCCAAATTTCCTCTGGCATGCTCGTCTCCAGTGCTGTGAAGTGGCAGGAACAGGAATCACAGGTCGGTCCATGTTCTACTCACGTAACATTACCCAGTCTCATCCCAGGCTTATCTGAAGAAGCCAAGGATACCCAAACGATACTGGATAGAGAAAATAACTATATCCTCAGTAGCTGCCAGTATGGATCCATCATTCATGGAAGCCATTCCTACAACCAATGCACAACCATGGATCCACACCATCACCTGAAGAAATCAAGACAGATGACATACCCAGTTAGAGCACAATTGGGCTGCCTACAAGATTATCAAATGTTTCTTCTCTATGCAGGTTGACATACATATTGATATCCTAGAGATTTCAGAATGTAGTCCACAGATGGGGTACTGTAGACATATAAGCATATATTCATTTGCACTTCCCCAACAGGAAATCTCAGCATGGTTTAATGTTTCTAGATCATCACTCAGAAACATCTAAGTAGAGCAAATAGTAGTGTCTCCATGTGTGTCTTTCCTGATTTTTGTTCAAAAAGGACATCAGATCCCATTTGTACAATGGATAACCTGCAGATGGAAATTTTGGTGATGTCAATGTGCAGTCCTTGAGCGTTTTCCCAATGTGGGTCTGCCTGGTTCAACTTGGGAGAAGAATTTCTGGCTTAACTAAAGACTAGTGCTTCTTACCTCTAAGAACTTCAGTGTGCTAAGCCACACACACACAAGTTTCAGCAGCTCACCATGGCTGAGATGACCTTCTTGAAACCAATAAGGAAAGACAACTAATCAGGGTCTAAACTACAGTGGATATCTGAATTGCTTTGTGCCTTTCTATCTTCCAGAAAAAGAAACATCCTCTTCCCCAGCTGTCCACAGTCTCACACTCACAGGTAAGTTAGAACCTTCATGGGCATGAACTGGTGCGTAGACGTTGAGATACAGACAGTCCTGAGACATAGAGATGGTAGGCATGATAATGCTCCTCTCTTTTGACACTTGTGACATAATCAAATCAGTTTTCAGACACCTAGGAAAAATGGGAGACAGTATAAGATATGCATGTAGTGGTCAAACATAAATGTTAGTCTGAATTTTTTCTCAGCCACATTCGGATAATACTTCCCATGATGCCCTGATAAATTTTGGCCCTTCTCTAAAGACCCTTCCTAGCAAAGTTAAGGCCACCAGGTCTGTAGAAATGAGAATAGAGCAGGACATTAGGTATTCCTCGGGTTGGATATTAATATCCTGAGAGCTAGTATGGAGACTGCTGGCATCCTCTATTAAAATTGATTGTCTTCCTCTATTGACCATCATCACTTCTGTACTGTTTAAATGCTGGTGTGGTAGTTAGTTTTGACTGTTGACTGACACAATGTAGAATCACCTGGGTAATGAATCTTAATGAGGGATTGTGTAAATCAGGGATTATCAAGTTTCCTATTGCTTTGACACTTTCATACACTTCTTCATGTTGTGGAGACCCACAACCACAAAATTATTTTGCTGCCACTTCTTAACTGTAATTTTGCTAATGTTATGAATAGTAATATAAATATATGTTATGTAGAATATCTGGTATTCATCCCCTGTGGGGATAGCAACCCACAAGTTGAGAACCACTGATCTAGACCCTGATCGCTTCTGGGCATGCCTGTGGAAAATTATCTTGATTATGTTCAATGAGATATAAATAACTGCCTATTGTAGGAGACACTATTCCCTAGGAAGATCTTCTGAAGTGTGTAAGAATGGAGATACAAAGTGAAGCATTAGCAGGCATGCATGTGATCTTTAAAGTCTGTTCTGGTTATGGATGTGATGTGATCGACCCACTTAAACTTCCTCACCTGTGGTTGCCACCTATGGTTGATTATAACCAGGAATTGTGACCCATAGTAAAATCTTTCTTCACTACATTGCTTTTGTCAGGGTCCTCTATCACAGCAACAGAACACAAACTAAGATACTTAAGTACTGGGGTTCTGTGCCCACATGAGAACTACAGGAATGAATGGACAATACCATAGGGTAGTGAGACATTCTTCTTCTCACTCCACACTCTCATAGTACCTCATTCTTCTACATAATCTTTTCATAGTTGAAAGCAGCTATACCTATTCCTTAGTCAGTGGCACTTGGATGATGGATGGTCTTGGTGATCATCATAATCTCCACCCCTCACTGCAGTACCTGGAGGTAATTCTCTACAGGTGTCAAGCTCTCACTCAGGAGCCTGACAGAGCAGTTCCAATCTACTCTTCAGCACATTCACTGAAAACTTGCATGGGACACTGCCCTTAGCACAGACAGAAAGCTGCTCTAGAGCTGAGATGAAGTAAAAACTGCAGTTCTGGACTAGATCTCAGGCCAGAAGTCCCCTGAGCACCAGAACGTACGTGGCAGGCACAGAAGTCCCATATCTGACACCACTCCATGGCTCAGGGGACACATGGGGGTGCAAAGCATAGTGGTCCTACAGGTGGCTTGGCAAAGGGAATTCCCAGGAAGGTGTAGACACCAGGTGCCCCATCTTTCACATGGACAAGGCTTCTCTCAGCTGCCTAGTGTGGGTGTCCCTGATGGGGCTGACTGAGTCTTGAACTGTAGGTGGAGAGATAAGCAGCCACACTTAGGAACTCCTACCTCATTGTCAGTGTAGTACATGTGTCTTCTCAGTTCAGTTTTGGGATGTGGGTATGATGCCTTCTGGATTACGTAGGACCAGGAACCTTGTCCATCATCCCTCTTCAAAACTAACAGGGCACTGATCTTGTCAGCAATATAACAGGCTCATAGAAGCTTGGCATTAGGAAGGAATTATTATCATTATTCACATACACTAGGAGGTCTAATCACAACCACACACTGAGGAGGGACATGTCCCTCCCTCCTGTTCTCTGCCCCTGCTGGCTCCTCACTACATGCTAACCTTACATATATCTGACCCTTCATGCACCATATAGCCCATTCTGTGAGCTTTGTTGAGGGCATTAAACAGTGTACAATTCCCTAACTCTCATCTGTCGTCTCCACCAGCTGTTCTGTCCCTGATTCTCCCCCCCACAAGCTCAGTCTTACTCTGCAAAACTTGACAGCTCTCACCCTTGTCCCCCTGCTCATTTAGACAGTCTCACCATGGACATGGACAAGGAGAAGCAGGAGCCCACAGGCCACAGCATACTGCCATCCAGGAAATCTATTGAGTGGCATGGTTGAATCTCAGAACTAAGTCTCTGCTGCTGCAAGGTGACAGGCTCAACAACAGAAAACAGAACGAATAGGCCTTGCCCAGGCAGGAATTTGTACCTTTAGGTGTATGGGTGTGGAAATGTGATTGAGCTGGGCAAAGTTCTTATTGTAGAACTGATAAGGCAGAAGGCTCAGGGAGCCAATAGATAGCAGGCAGTGCAAAGACACCTCTGCAGTTTCCTCTCCTTCCCTGGTGTCTTAGATAGACCCATCATGGCATCTGAAGTCCTTCTGGAATGCCAGGATCCCTGTCCTTGTACATGGAGTCACTAAGATCCCTTGACCTTTTTTACTCACCAACACAATGTGGGTATTGGACTGAATATCAGGGAGAAGAAAGCTCTCACAAGAGAAGCCATGGAGTTTCTGTGAATAGGTACATACTCAAGATGCCACAGATGAAGAGAAATACAAGGGAAGGAATCTAAGTGTGACCTTCATCCTCAATATTCCTCTGTGCTATCAAGACTCCTAGAGCAGTGAGTCCAACTTCAATATCCCTTGTCTTTTATGGTCACCTTAAATGTGTAGGGGACACTACATGTTAGTTCATGGAAGTTTCTTTGAAAGACACTGAAATTCTGGCTCTTCTGTCTCTCTGTCTCTCTGTCTCTCTGTCTCTGTCTCTCTCTCTCTCTCTCTCTCTCGTGTGTGTGTGTGTGTGTAGCAGAAATTCAATAATGTCTTCAGGTTCTCAATGGTTCTCAAATTCCTTAATGCTGCAACTTTTTAACACAGTTCCTCATGTTGTGCTGACCCCCAAACATAAAATTATTTTTGTTTTTACTTCATAACTCTAATTTTGCTACTGTTATGAATCACAATGTAAGTATCTGATATGCAAATTATCTGATATAGCACCTCTGTAAAAGACTCATTCAACTCCTAAAGTGGTCAAAATTCACAGGTTGAGAGCCACTGCCCTAGTGGAAAATCCAGGCATCAGTTCTACTTCACTCAAAGGCAGGGCTTTTCTCTCTGCTCAGCTCCTGAGGACAGCTGAAGCTCTTCCTCAGCTCTCTGCTACCTGGTGTTGACTACTGGCATTCAAGAACCATCATTTTGGTGATGCCCTATGGTTGGCTTCAAAGCAATTAATGAAACCAGGAAAAGATAGTATCCTTGGATGTGACAGGTTTGTCATATGCAGGGTCCTTGTGAGATTCAGGACCTAAAAGATGGGGAATAGAACCCTTTAATGCTTAGGGGGGAACATAGATTGGCCACCATTTGTCATGCTTGTATAATTTAATGAAGAGGAAGTTTATAATATAGGGTCTATAGAAGTGTATGGACCACAAATAAAGCCAGAAGATTAATTAATAATGTGGGAGATGAAGGAGAATTGTTGTATCAAATTGAACCAAAGTGTTCTTGGAAATCTATGAAGTAAGAAGTACTCTTCTGTCCTTGGATTTGTACTCAGGGAATCAGGGATAGGATCTCTACTTGTGGGCATTTCTGGAACTTCTGATGTTCCTATCCCACTTCCAGGACACAGCTCACAGTCAAACATATTCACAAATGTCCTAATCATGTGAATACCAACTGCATAGTATTCACAGACCATGGAGGTGGGGAGAGGCGGTATTACAACTGATTTCAACAACACAGATACTCACACATTCAAACACAAAGAGATACACACAGAAAGACATAGACACAATCACACACAGAGAAACACATTCTGTCTCACACATAAACCATTGTGTAAGCCAGCACTAACATGACAGCTGCTGCGAGAAACACACAAAATTCCAGCCTGCTGTGGTGGGGATGAGGAAATGAGGAGATGACACAGAGTCACCCAAGGA